AGCATCAAATTTTCCTAGTTTATCTTTAGTGTTTAAGATATGACACGGACACCTAAAAGGGTGAAAATAAGCAAGATTGGGAATCTTGTCTTTGAAAATTTCATAGGGGGTTCTATTCAGCCCCTTTCTGTCCAGAACACGATTGGTTACATAACAAGCAGTACTCACAGCTTCAGCCCAAAAGAATTTAGGGAGATTAAACTCAAGAAGCATAGTTCTAGCACACTCTATAAGGGTCCTATTCTTTCTCTCCACAACTCCATTTTGTTAAGGAGTTCTTGGAGCAGAAAAAGTATGATTGATTCCTGACTCATTGCAAAAGATTTCAAAATCTTCACAGATGAATTCCCCCCCATTATCACTTTTGATAGTTTTGATCTTTTGAGCATACATAGAGACAAAAATTTTGAATTTTGACAGAGTGTCATCCTTGTGAGCAAGAAAATATACCCACGAGTATCTAGAGTAATCGTCCACAAGCACAAAAACATAGTTCTTTCCACCTAAGCTAGTGACATTGCATGGACCAAAGAGGTCCATATGGATTAACTCAAACATTTGGTGAGTAGTTATGTCAGCCTTTGATTTGAACGATTTCCTAGAGTGTTTACCACTAACACAGGTTTCACAAAAGAAGTCAGATTTGTCTTTTAAAACAGGAACTCCTCTAACTTTACTGGACCTAGTTAAACTGACTAATTTGGATAGGCTAACATGCCCCATTTTTCTATGCCACAAGAGCTCTTGTTGAAAAGAGGTGACAAAACATAATTCATTGAAAGCACTTAGGTTGCTAAGATCAATCACATACATATTGTTTGATCTTTCACCAACAAACATAACCTTTTGATCCTTATCCCTTTTAACCACACATTTATCAGTTTCAAAGACGACATGAAATCCATTACTGCATAGTTGACTTATAGATAATAGATTATGCTTTAATCCTTCAACTAGCAGAACATTTCTAAACATGGCAAATGGTTTTTCTCCTATAGTTCCAGATCCAAATACTTTTCCATAACCATTATCACCAAACCAGACTTTACCTCCATTTACTGATTTTAAAGAGGATAAAAGAAATCTCTTACCAGACATGTGATGAGAACATCCACTGTCGAGGTACCACTTATGGTCATTTTGGCTTGAAAGAGATCCTTCCCCATCCTCTACAAACTCGGTCTTAGCCATGAATGCCTCATCTTCTGATTCTGGATTCTCCTGATCCGAGTCATAGTCGCTCCAAGTAGCCTTCATGGCTTTCTCCTTAGCTTTCAAGGTTTGAGGGAAATGGGCTCGAATATGCCCAATTTTTCCACATTTGTAACAGGCCTGTGATTCTCTTTCCAGCTGACCTGTTTCAGATTTTCTGGTCTGCTGGGGTAGCAGCCTAGCTTGAGAGACAGTTTTAGTGCGATCATAATTTCCATATCTGGACTCATCTTGACGCTGTTTTTGTTCATTTTTATATTTTAACATAATGTGAAAACGTTTGCTGACAAGAGCAAACTCCCTATCAAACTCACTTTCTTCCTCACTTTCAGGATCATACTCCACCAGTTTGGTTTTAAAGGCTAAATTTTTGCTACGTTTTTCATCTTCTTGACCAATCTGTTTTAACACATGCTCATGACTTAGCAAGGATCCTATCAGTTCATTTTTAGGTAAGGTAGTCAAGTTCTTAGCTTCCTCAATAGCTGTCCGCTTAGGAAGCCATTCTCTAGGCAGTGATCTAAGAATTTTCCTATTTAGATCCTTAGTTTGATATGTCTTACCTAGCCCTTTCAATTTGTTTATTAAAACAGTAAACCTAGAATACATTTCATGAAATCCTTCGCCTTTAATCATGCTAAAAGACTCGTATTCATGAACCAAGAGATCTATACGAGATTCTTTTATGTTAGAAGTACCTTCATAGGTGGTTTCCAGAGCGGTCCAGATCTCCGAGGCTGTTGAGCAGTTTTCGACTTGATCGGCTTCGTCAGGATTCATCGGCGATTGCAACACATGCATTGCCCGCTGGTTTAATTGCGCGCTCTTCTTCTGGGCAGCTGACCAAAATCTCTGCTCATCGTCGTTCATCTCGATTGGACCATCCTGCACAAATAACCAAAGTTCTTCGTCAATTCCCCACATAAATTGTTTCATCCGCTTTTTCCACGCGGTGTAATTAGACCCGGTGAAAATTGGTGGATGATTGATAGCCGCATGACCGAAGGAACCAGAAGCCATTTTTGGATCGAAACCCTTGGCAGTAGTTAGCTTCGTCAAGGACCAACTCTGATACCAATTGTAGAGAAGGTTTGAGATCGATTTGGGAATTAGGGTTCAAGAAGAACACCCGATTTTAGAGAGTAGTTCGAGAGTCAAAGGAAAGGAAGATGACTCTCGTTTTTGTACTCTGATAAAGTGGGCCGAAAAGAACGGGCCCGAGTAAAACAATTTCAGAGAATCTGCTTTGGTTGAGTTTTAATCGTAATGGGCTTCAAGCCCTGCTTTTCTTTCTATCAAGCACGAGTCACCAGACTCTGTTGCTCCTCAACCGAAACAGAGCAAGGAACAGAGTTCCTCAAGCTAAACACTCGAATTGCAGAAGGTAACGAGCAGAGAAGCTTAACGAACACAGAACATTTTTAATGTGGTACGCCCTTGTGCAATGGTCTACTTCCACGTCCCAGAATATGGTCTGGGAGGCCTTTTATTAACTATGAAATCACGAACAGAAAATAACCACAAAGCAAGAATCAATGTAGCAATAAGAAGAAGGTAATGAAAACCCAGATCAGTCTCCGATCTGTTTCTGCCTTGGCGAAAGTTGAACCTGTGCCTCAACCTTTCGCCAATCCCTTTTGTAATTCCAGAGCTAAGCCCTTTACCACAATAGCTCCTCCAAAAGTGCATCAAACGGCAGCAGTTACTCAGGCATATATAGTCTCTTCAATAGACTAGCCGTTGGAGTCAGAGAAGATAAGTTCCTAATGACAGGCTGCTGTTTCCTTTTGAGGTTCCTGTAATTGAGCTGCAAGAAATCAACAGTAAGAGTGGACAATCTCCAACTTGATTTGGCCTGCTTAGTTCAACATCGTTGTCTTCAAGCATTTAAGGGGCGTGTAAGGAAGTGGTTAAGTATCATACATGGGCATGTATCTAGCAGAACACCATGTCACAAACCAGTTGGTCCCAATAACTCGAGTTGTTGGGAGAAGGTTATGCTGGATCTTATACCACTCTCTAACACGCCCCCTCAAACGAAATCCAACTCATGGGCTTGAAGTTTGCAGAGGCCCGCCATACCTTGTGCTTTAATCAACTGTTATATTGGGGGTCGTGGAGATTCGAACACACGACCACTTGGCCAAACCAGGCTCTGATACCATGTCATAAACCAGTTGGTCCCAATAACAGAACACAGAAAACAAGATTTTATGTGGTATTCTCGATCGATTTATTGATCGACACTAATCCACGGCGGCTGATATTTTATTGAACGACTACATTGTGACGGCTTGCTTACGATAATCTCGTAGCTAAGCTTATATAGACGTAGGCCCAACAAGGCCCAATACTAACACGGTTTAAGTAACCACAACACTCCCCCTCAAGCGAAGACATGAATGACAAGAATGTCGAGCTTGAAGAAGTAAATGTGAAGAACAAGCATGATGGCTTGAACCACAAAACTCGAGATGAATAACATCTCAGACAAGGTTGATTGGAGACGACATATGCTCTCTCTGAACAACCTGATGATGGAGACGGTTGACTGCGTCTCTTGAACTCGAACACACTTGGTACATCGCGGCCGACATAATGATTGAGTTAGCCGACCGACGTATGTTGTCCTCCTATTGACCAGGAAGAACGGAAGCTACGTACAAAGGTTTTACCGCCCTATAAAGTCATTATGTGACGGTGCTACGTTAATGATCATTATAAATAAGATTTTAGCCTCTTTCAAATTAATCGATAAGATTAATTTCAACTTGCAAAAGCATATCTCTAATTTTTTTTATCCCTTCTTTCTTTTTAATTTGAGCGTCAGAATTTCTCAATGGACCACATCCCGATGTAAAGATTTAAGTGAAGATCCAATCAGCCAATGTGGATTCCAAATCATCCAATACGAATGCTAAGCATATACACATGGCGGCCTTCAACTAAGGTTCAAGTTAGTATCATCAAGAATCTCGATGATCCTACATACCTAGGAATTTGATAAAGATTATATATATAGATAAACCAGTTATATCCAGAAGTAGAGGATGGAGCTTCAATCTTATGACTTGGCTTTCTGTAGAGCGTGGAAACAGAAGGGTATATGCTTCCACAGTTCCACGTGTATGGGTGGATCCACTTTCGACATTTGACACATGCACTTCCCCTCTGCCAAACAGGAGAAGAAAGTAATCCCACTGGAATGGGGAAACAAGGTCCACCCATGTCTACCTCCACAGTCCAGACCATGCATTGTGGCGCCCATGCCCATGTCGCTCATATCCCCACTCCCACTCCCACTCCCAGCCATTATAACTCCAAACACAAGCCATGGAAATGGCAGAGAGAAGAAGAAGAAGAAAGAGCCAATCAATTAGTTGCAGCAATTGCTATCATCAGTTTGCTCCACACCCACCCACCAGGGCTCCTCCACCAGTCACGTCGCACCAAACTCATTAACTCAACCCTACCCCCAATCCAATCCTCCATTATTCTCTATCATTATTTATTTCCCATGCTCTTCTTCCCCGTCCAAAAAAAAAAAAAAAAAAATCAATCCATTCAGGGACGGACACGAACCCGACTTTGTGCCTTCGAATTGTGTACGCATTTCTGTGATTTTAACCATTAGACGCATGTATTGATATCTACTTCAAATAACTACGTGGTTTACAGTTAGAGCTTGAAAATCAAACACATTTTGTATCCATTGCTTGCACACCTTACTTTTGAACATATTTGAACAAAATGTAGATAGCGGTGGATGTATGCACATATTGATTTCGTCCAATACCACATTTTCATTAAAAAATCATCGATCCACCGTGCGGACAACTGATAACACAAAAATAAATAAAATAAAACGACACAAGCTCGTTCATACGCCAAGTCCTATAAACACATTAGCCAAATTGATAAAAACAGAAACAAAAAAATGGTCCCTCCAGCTCCCCCACATCAGCGCCCACCATCATTACTCTACTATTCTTAATCATGACATAATGTAAGCCCACCTTCGATCAGTAGTTTAATCAAAGCAAAGTAATCCTCCATCCCCGGTCACCGTTCCCACTTGCCCAAAACGAAAATTGACCCGCCCCTCGGTCGTCGTCTCAGCTAAAATTCAAACTAATTATAAACTAATCCCGGCCGCCGGGCGGCAGTTACACAACTATTCTTGTTAAGACTCACTTGTAATTAATTAATCAATCTAATTTTTTCTCACAAACAAAACATCTTCATGGGAAACAACAATGTAGGCTTTTTTATTTCGCTCTGTATTTACATTTGGTATAGGGTAATTCACGAACAGTAAGAAAAAATCTTCTTACAAACAAAAGAAAAAGAAAGAAAGAAAGAATTTTATGGTGTGTGGCTATGGATCCAATCCAACCAAACGCTATCTAACAGTAGACGCAACAGAATGCGCCCACAATCTCAAGCTGTCTTTCATGTCAATCTCGCTTCCCAATCCCAGCGCCGGAACCCGCCAATTCATCACCGGATTCCTCATTTTCTCCTTCTCCTGAACCGCCCAGGCTTCCGACAAGTACGGCCTCCTCGGAACCGCCGATTCATCCACCGCCGAAGGGGGTTCTACTGCTCCCCCGCCGTCCTTTTTCCCCAATCTCTGTAGCCCGGGGAGAATCGAGACCAAGCTCGACTCCCTGTCTTCCTCGGAGAACACGAACCCTAAATCCATAAACCCTTTCAGCTCCTCGAACTCCAGAGACGACAAGCTCTTGCTCGCCAACCCTTTCTTCGCCGCTCTCCTCCTCCCGCCGGCGGGGGTGGGCTTTCTCGCCTTCGACGGTGAATTGGAACCGGAGGAGATGGGAGAACACTTTCTGAGAGGCGGCGGAGGAGGAGGAGGAGGGGAGTATTTGGTGAATATTTCCAATTCATCTCCGGTCGCTTCTTTACCGGAGAGGATTGTGCGGAGTTGAGAAGTGAGGACGGAGTCCGGCGAGGCCGGGGTGTTGTTGATGAAGCTCGGCTTCGTGTACAAGTCCTCGCTCATGGATCTGAGAATCGCGGATTGGCCTCCGCCGCGAGTGGGTCTTAATTTCGAAATCTCCGGCGGCGGCGGAGCTTGTTGCTTCTGGATCTGCAGATACATGCTGGCCATAGTTGGGGTCTCCGGCGGGGAATCCGACGGGGAAGAATACGTTGACCGGTTCTTCAGGATCTCCATCTCGAACCAGTAGGAATCGTAGAGGTTTAGAGCTTCACCTGCGTCCATCAACGGCGGCGGCTGAAGAGGAACTAGAAAAGTCTGGAGAATTCTTTCTTTTTCGCTTTTTCTGTTTGGGGAATTGTTTCCGTTTGAGTTTAATTGCGAAGAACACGGAAGACTCGTCTTATATATATGAGAGAGCGGAGAGTGAATGACTTAAATGCCCTTTCCAGTTTTTGTAAATACGACCAGTAAACCGTTCAAAACCAAGAAAAGGAATAGAGAATTTCAACGTTGGGCAATAGGTGCTCTTGTATTATTTTAATTATTATCGTTTCAGCGTGGTGCGTAATTAATTATTTTCAGTAGTTTTCCGGGTCCGGGTTAGCGGGTTGCGTTCCACGGCAAGCTGAGTGATTATATATATTGTTTAATCGGGTTAATTAATTTATTTTTAAGAATAATTAAGGGAGAGAGGGTAATGCGTGGAAGGATTATGACGTGGCTTGGAGATGAAGCAAAAAAAAAGACCAATAATGGAGTGTGGGGCCCACGGGACTGATCTGTGCTGGCGCGGTAAGCCCATGATCTTGGATTTTGTCACCCGTATCTTTTTGTTTTTTAATTTTATTTTGTTAATTTTAGGAGAGGGAACAAAATGGCAATCATCATAATGTTTAATTATTTAATTACCATTTTTACTATTTTTTTTTGTTTTTACACTGTTTCTTTGGTTACTGATCTTACAGTTCACACTGACATTGAGTTAGCCTGTCACAATGAGAAGAAAGATCTTGATGATGAATTCTAATCTAAAAATTTAATTTTTGGGAAAATACAATTTTTGTGTTCAATCTCTTAACTTAGTGATACTAACAGTTAATTATCTTAAATTCAAAAAATACTATAAATACTAAAATTTGACAAATGTAATGATTTTTTTATGTATAGTTTAGCTCCAATTGATTGTTATTGCCAATCACTCTCATCTAACGTTTGCCAATCAAACCACTTCTCAGCGTACAATGAGAGGTGTATTTCAAACACAGTTAAAGAAAATGTTAATTTATTGTGATTACCTTAGGGTATCTCCAATGGTTAGAGCTAAAATGTTTAACGTTGGGTTAGATTTGACATTCTACCTCCGATGTTTTGCTCCAATCAATAGAGAGAGAAAATATAGTTGTTTTGTGCATATAGTATTTTGAACATAAAATTCAACATAAAAACGTGGTTCAGGATGGAAAATGCTGAAAATTACTACCAAAAAAAAAAATGCTGAAAATGGCGATTATATTTAAGGTTGAATATAATCAATCAAATTAGTAATAAAAAATGACGGGAAGGTAATTAATCAAACTAATAAGAAAATAATAATTTACAGTACATTACGTGCCATCATATACACTATTATATTTTTACCGTTGAATCCATATAGAGAAGAAACCACAACCTGTACATCACCTTCAAGATCGTCGCATCCGTCATGGAGTGACATGCGCATCAAAGAAAGTCGGTAAATATACTCTAGGTTATGTGATATAAAGATGATATTTTACATGTAATTTGTTTATGTGACCATGCATCTCGTATTACAAAAATGTACACTAGGGGGGTTAACAAACTTATTTATAGTTTGGTGTACCTTTTTCAGGGATTTGTTTTCCGGTGAGAAAACTTCCGTTGAATTGAGATTAATGTATCTTGACTTCTTTGGACAATAATTATGAAGACACGACTCACAACTTTCCAAACAAAGTTCGAATGAGAGTGTTTGATTGATGATTTTTAAGAATAAAACTAAATTAATAAGTTACTCCTACTCTTATAGAAGTTCAGCGAGAGTTCCAAATTACGACCATGGCTACATGTGTAGAGAAAATATAAAAACTTGACATAAGCGTCAGTTAGGGGCGTAGCTAGAGAGTAAGAAGGGGGTTCCATGACACTCTCTTGATTTGGAAAAACACACCAAAACTTAGTAGTATTAATATACCAATAATGAAACTAGAACCCCAAATTTAATGTTAATTATCAAATTTTACAACAACATTCAATTATATAAGTTAGTTTTATCTACTAATTTCTACATAAATTCAGTCTAGTTTGTCAAAATGGATGAGAGGGTGCAGATTATTAGAGGAAATCATTAACTTTCTATGATAATATTGAAAGAGAAAATTGATTCATATCGATATATTTGCTTGTGCAATTAGGTTTAGTTTGCTAATACTTTTTGTCAATAAACATGTTGATATAAAAAATTATTTCAATGCGCCCCTTAGATGAAATTCTGGCTATGCCACTGGCATCAGTCGTGTTGTTTTAGGAACCCTTGTCTCTGTCAACCTCCTTTCCTATTTATAGGAATGTGGTTGTAACCACATCAGAGAACCGTATTCTTGATAACTGCTACAAAGAATCGCTCCCTCTTCTCGGAGTGGTGGTTGCTTCTTCAACCGCCTAGTTGCCTCTCTTGGAACTATCGTATTGGTATTTGTCTCCTCTTGACCATGCCATGGAGCTGTGACCGCATGATCGTCTCTTGCGATCAACGTAGTCGTGTCAAGCGACCAACGAGGTCGTCTCTCTCGATTAGCGTGTGACCAACGTGGTCATGTCCCAATACCAACTTACGTGGACAGATCTCGCGACCAACGTGGTCGGATCTCGCACGGGGACTTAGTCGTTTGGGCTTAAAAATCTAGTACTATGGGCTTAAAAATCTAGTACTATGAGGCCCTGATTAAATAAAATTAATAGTTGATCTAATTTTCAGATTGATAGTGATAAACATGACGTGCATTATTCATCATAGCTTTAAACGATACAAGGCAAATGTCTGCGAATATTTTTGTTGTTCGTTAGAACTCGTCAAATGCAAGAAAATATATTAGTTTTTTTATATTATTATTATTATTATCATGATATTATAGATTTTTGTTATTAATTATACAAGTCTAGATGAAAAGGACTTTGAATTCAAACAGTGTTGTAGTGACTAGTGATATAATATATTAGTATTATTGATGATTGAGATGGATTAAATTATAATAAAATTAAGGTGGTGAACATTTCAAGAGAAAGGATAACATCACAACAATTTTGGAAATTAAGTGTATATAGTAATACATTGAATAGAAAAAAAGGAAGAATTAACGTTAGTTCAACCTATTCACAACTAAGTAACGTATGCTAGGTTGTCAATCCGATTTAGCCAGTTGCCTCGATCGAGCAAGTAGGTTGAAAGTTAATGGTTGAACCATTTTGGCCCATAAATCCATTTGAAGAATTGAAGAAAACGGCGATTGACATGGCCGATATATGAAAAAAATCATTATATTGTTCATACATTTATAAACCATATCAAATCTCATCTAACATATATGAGTAATAACATATAACATTACACCAAAATAACATGTTGTAGTCGGATCCAACACATAGTAAAATTCACACACATTTATATAACATCAAATTCAAACATTCAACTTAGAATTCCAAAGAATGGGGTAGGCAAAAAGGAATACCGGAAAATAGGTGCATTTTGCAAATCAAAGGAAAAACTACACATTTTGACCTCCAACCCGATACTTTACCGCGTGGATCCGACAGATGTGTGTGCCCATTTTTCTTATTGAATCAGGGTCAAAGTGGGTCAATCGACGCGACGGGCTAATCCGCGAGTTGACAACTTACCTACGCGCTACGTGACAATACTTTACTCTTCTACTAATGTATTTTCACTTAGCGATAGTTTGGATGAGGAAAAAACTTACCTGCTGCATAAACACAAATGATTCCATAACATATTTTATATTTTTATTAGCACAATATAAGACTGCTTACTATAGCAAACCAAAGCATTAAGCATTTGAACATTTCTGGATTAAAAGTCAATCCCATTTCTGGTACATTTGAAGGGGGAAACAAGAAAGTGTTAGAGTTAGTCAATAGAGTTGTAATACGACATTGATAGGAAAAGTAAAGTATAAAGATGGAGTCTTTTGGCAGTTTAATTAATCAATTAATTAATTTTATATTAATTAATTAACGTTTGAATTTTGTGAAAAGAAGTGTCCTTCCATAAAAGTAACTCTTTTTTTTTTTGAAAGGATGTGTCCTTTCGGGAAAGGTAACTACCTTTTATGTGAAAGGGTGTGTCTCTTCGGAAGGTAACTTCCAGTTTCACTACTATACATAGATGACTGCCATAACTCTTTTAATGACGAGAGATTACCTTTTTCTTCCCGTTTTTCTTCTCTATTCCATAAACACAGAAGTCTGCAAGATTGTTGCTTCTGGACTTAAAATTGAAGGGACTCCTGGAGGTGGTTTGCTCGAGCTTACCAGCAATTTGTAGTGGCGGGCAAATAACACTCTAAGGAGAGTGATTAATCACGCCTTCAATCTGATCTCTTCCCTACCGTTTCCTTAACAGAAAGGGCACGTGCAGGAATGGAGGGTATTGTCTGTGTACTGTGTGTTTATCCTAATCAAAACGAGCCGTGTTGTGTTCCATTTGTACACAGTTTCATTGATAAATTTGGTTTAACAGTCGCGGGAAGGGGATTACGTGTTGATTACTGACCGACTGCGGAAGTTTATTTCAAAACCGAGTGAAACGAAAAAAATGCTAGGGAGGGACAAGTACGGAGAAAAGGTTTCCGCAATTTCATGTCAACGTGAGAATATATTCCATCGGCTTCGGCTGCCCAAGTAAGGGTAGACTGGTAAATAACTCAGATGGAGGTTTTTTTTATTATAAATTTTGGATCAGTTAGACTTTACCGAATATTCGGATACGCCGAGTGGGAAGCTCCGTTTTGAAACAGTGGGGCCGGGCCCAAATGGGAGGCTGACTGTAGCCTGCTGAGAAAGGCGGGTGTGGTGTGAAGTGTGAACTGTGGTCTGTGAGTGTGAAGTGACTAGTGATTAAAGTGAATCGGTCCACTCAATTGGGTTGGGGTTGGGTTGGTACGTGGAGATATGAAGACCGGTTTCCACGTGAGTGTCGTGCTCTCTTTTTCTCATTTTTCATTGTCAAAACTCAATAGGGGTTAATAAGAGGTGTATATGGGCCTCTTAATTAGATTTCTATCATTTAAATCATCATATTCATGCATTTTTGTTTCGAAAATACTAAATTTAAACCTACAAAAAAGTAGTTAGAACTTAGAACCCTACTATTTGTTTATAATTGGGTTCGATCAGATGGGCTATACTTTCAAGTGAAAAATCAACCCAACACTAAAATAATTATACAACTAAAATTTCAAGCAAATAAACAAAGCGAAAAACATCAAAATATGTAGAAGTTGGTGTTTGGATTTTGATGAAGTGCAATTTGATTCAACATCTATGTATCGCATTTTTCATAATCTTTTAC